GGAAGCCTCGAAGATTCTTTCAAATTCTTTTAAAACAAAAACACTAGAGACCTTAGAGATTCTTTCAATTCTTTTAAAACCAAAAATATTAGGGGCCTCCAAATTCTTCCAAAAATGCAACATAAGAAACCCCTAAGATTCTTTCAAATTATTTAAAAATAAAATCACTAGGGGCTTCCGAGATTCCTTCAAATGCTTCTAAAAACAGAATATGATCAGAAACCCCTAAAGGTCCTTAAAATTGTTTTAAAACCAAAAACCCTAGAGGCCTCCGGGATTCTTTCAGAAATAAAACACCAAGTAGCCTTAAGATTATTTCAAAACAAAAATCACTAGGAGCCTTCGAGATTCTTTCAAATGCTTCCAAAAACAAAACACCAGAAACCCCAAAGAATCTTTCAAATTCTTTTTAAAACAAAAAAACCTATAGGGCCCCAAGTTTCTTTCAAATATTTCCAAAAACAGAACACCGGGAAACAAAAACTAGGGATCTCCAAAATTCTTTCAAAAACAAAACACCAGGAAGCCTCGAAGATTCTTTCAAATTCTATTAAAACAAAAACACTAGAGGCCTTAGAGATTCTTTCAATTCTTTTAAAACCAAAAATACTAGGGACCTCCAGATTCTTTCAAAAACGCAACATAAGAAACCCCTAAGATTCTTTCAAATTATTTTAAAATAAAATCACTAGGGGCCTCCGAGATTCTTTCAAATGCTTCTAAAAACAGAATATGATCAGAAACCCCTAAAAGTCCTTAAAATTTGTTTAAAACCAAAAACCCTAGGGGCCTCCGGGATTCTTTCAAAAATAAAACACCAAGCAGCCTTAAGATTATTTCAAAACAAAAATCACTAGGAGCCTCCGAGATTCTTTCAAATGCTTCCAAAAACAAAACACCAGAAACCCCAAAGAATCTTTCAAATTCTTTTTAAAACAAAAAAACCTATGGGGCCCCAAGTTTCTTTCAAATATTTCCAAAAACAGAACACCGGGAAACAAAAACTAGGGATCTCCAAAATTCTTTCGAAAACAGAACGCCAGGAAGCCTCGAAGATTCTTTCAAATTCTTTTAAAACAAAAACACTAGAGGCCTTCGAGATTCTTCCAATTCTTTTAAAACCAAAAATACTAGGGACCTCCAGATTCTTTCAAAAATGCAACATAAGAAACCCCTAAGATTCTTTCAAATTATTTTAAAATAAAATCACTAGGGGCCTCCGAGATTCTTTCAAATGCTTCTAAAAACAGAATATGATCAGAAACCCCTAAAAGTCCTTAAAATTTGTTTAAAACCAAAAACCCTAGAGGCCTCCGGGATTCTTTCAAAAACAAAAGACCAAATACCCCTAGGATTATTTCAAAACAAAAATCACTAGGAGCCTCCGAGATTATTTCAAATTCTTTTAAAACAAAAACACTAGAGGCCTTAGAGATTCTTTCAATTCTTTTAAAATCAAAAATACTAGGGACCTCCAGATTCTTTCAAAAATGCAACATAAGAAACAAACCCCTGATTCTTTCAAATTATTTTAAAATAAAATCACTAGGGGCCTCCGAGATTCTTTCAAATGCTTCTAAAAACAGAATATGATCAGAAACCCCTAAAAGTCCTTAAAATTTGTTTAAAACCAAAAACCCTAGAGGCCTCCGGGATTCTTTCAAAAACAAAAGACCAAATACCCCTAGGATTATTTCAAAACAAAAATCACTAGGAGCCTCCGAGATTATTTCAAATTCTTTTAAAACAAAAACACTAGAGGCCTTAGAGATTCTTTCAATTCTTTTAAAATCAAAAATACTAGGGACCTCCAGATTCTTTCAAAAATGCAACATAAGAAACAAACCCCTGATTCTTTCAAATTATTTTAAAATAAAATCACTAGGGGCCTCCGAGATTCTTTCAAATGCTTCTAAAAACAGAATATGATCAGAAACCCCTAAAAGTCCTTAAAATTTGTTTAAAACCAAAAACCCTAGGGGCCTCCGGGATTCTTTCAAAAACAAAACACCAAGCAGCCTTAAGATTATTTCAAAACAAAAATCACTAGGAGCCTCCGAGATTCTTTCAAATGCTTCCAAAAACAAAACACCACAAACCCCAAAGAATCTTTCAAATTCTTTTTAAAACAAAAAAAAACCTATAGGGCCCCAAGTTTCTTTCAAATATTTCCAAAAACAGAACACCGGGAAAGAAAAACTAGGGATCTCCAAAATTCTTTCAAAAACAGAACACCAGGAAGTCTCGAAGATTCTTTCAAATTCTTTTAAAACAAAAACACTAGAGGCCTCAGAGATTCTTTCAATTCTTTTAGAACCAAAAATACTAGGAACCTCCAGATCCTTTCAAAAGTGCAACATAAGAAACCCCTAAGATTCTTTCAAATTATTTTAAAATAAAATCACTAGGGGCCTCCGAGATTCTTTCAAATGCTTCTAAAAACACAGTATGATCAGAAACCCCTAAAGGTCCTTAAACTTTTTTTAAAACCAAAAACCCTAGGGGCCTCCGGGATTCTTTCAAAAACAAAACACCAAATACCCCTAGGATTATTTCAAAACAAAAATCACTAGGAGCCTCCGAGATTCTTTCAAATTCTTTTAAAACAAAAACACTAGAGGCCTTAGAGATTCTTTCAATTCTTTTAAAATCAAAAATACTAGGGACCTCCAGATATTTTCAAAAACGCAACATAAGAAACCCCTAAGATTTTTGCAAATAATTTTAAAATAAAATCACTAGGGGCCTCCCAGATTCTTTCAAATGCTTCTAAAAACAGAATATGATCACAAACCCCTAAAAGTCCTTAAAATTTGTGTAAAACCAAAAACCCTAGGGGCCTCCGGGATTCTTTCAAAAATAAAACACCAAGCAGCCTTAAGATTATTTCAAAACAAAAATCACTAGGAGCCTCCGAGATTCTTTCAAATGCTTCCAAAAACAAAACACCACAAACCCCAAAGAATCTTTCAAATTCTTTTTAAAACAAAAAAAAAACTATAGGGCCCCAAGTTTCTTTCAAATATTTTCAAAAACAGAACACCGGGAAACAAAAACTAGGGATCTCCAAAATTCTTTCAAAAACAGAACACCAGGAAGTCTCGAAGATTCCTTCAAATTCTTTTAAAACAAAAACACTAGAGGCCTTAGAGATTCTTTCAATTGTTTTAGAACCAAAAATACTAGGAACCTCCAGATTCTTTCAAAAGTGCAACATAAGAAACCCCTAAGATTCTTTCAAATTATTTTAAAATAAAATCACTAGGGGCCTCCGAGATTCTTTCAAATGCTTCTAAAAACACAGTATGATCAGAAACCCCTAAAGGTCCTTAAACTTTTTTTAAAACCAAAAACCCTAGGGGCCTCCGGGATTCTTTCAAAAACAAAACACCAAATACCCCTAGGATTATTTCAAAACAAAAATCACTAGGAGCCTCCGAGATTCTTTCAAATTCTTTTAAAACAAAAACACTAGAGGCCTTAGAGATTCTTTCAATTCTTTTAAAATCAAAAATACTAGGGACCTCCAGATATTTTCAAAAACGCAACATAAGAAACCCCTAAGATTCTTGCAAATAATTTTAAAATAAAATCACTAGGGGCCTCCGAGATTCTTTCAAATGCTTCTAAAAACAGAATATGATCAGAAACCCCTAAAAGTTCTTAAAATTTGTTTAAAACCAAAAACCCTAGAAGCCTCCGGTATTCTTTCAAAAATAAAACACCAAGTAGCCTTAAGATTATTTCAAAACAAAAATCACTAGGAGCCTTCGAGATTCTTTCAAATGCTTCCAAAAACAAAACACCAGAAACCCCAAAGAATCTTTCAAATTCTTTTTAAAACAAAAAAACCTATGGGGCCCCAAGTTTCTTTCAAATATTTCCAAAAATAGAACACCGGGAAACAAAAAATAGGGATCTCTAAAATTCTTTCAAAAACAGAACACCAGGAAGCCTCGAAGATCCTCTCAAATTCTTTTAAAACAAAAACATTAGAGGCCTTAGAGATTCTTTCAATTCTTTTAAAACCAAAAATACTAGGGACCTCCAGATTCTTTCAAAAATGCAACATAAGAAACCCCTAAGGTTCTTTCAAATTATTTTAAAATAAAATCACTAGGGGCCTCCGAGATTCTTTCAAATGCTTCTAAAAACAGAATATGATCAGAAACCCCTAAAAGTCCTTAAAATTTGTTTAAAACCAAAAACCCTAGAGGCCTCCGGGATTCTTTCAAAAACAAAACACCAAATACCCCTAGGATTATTTCAAAACAAAAATCACTAGGAGCCTCCGAGATTCTTTCAAATTCTTTTAAGACAAAAACACTAGAGGCCTTAGAGATTCTTTCAATTCTTTTAAAACCAAAAATACTAGGGACCTCCAGATTCTTTCAAAAATGCAACATAAGAAACCCCTAAGATTCTTTCAAATTATTTTAAAATAAAATCACTAGGGGCCTCCGAGATTCTTTCAAATGCTTCTAAAAACAGAATATGATCAGAAACCCCTAAAAGTCCTTAAAATTTGTTTAAAACCAAAAACCCTAGAAGCCTCCGGGATTCTTTCAAAAATAAAACACCAAGTAGCCTTAAGATTATTTCAAAACAAAAATCACTAGGAGCCTCCGAGATTCTGTCAACTACCCCTAAGATTCTTTCAATTTTTTTTTTTTAAACAAACCACCAGGAGATTATTTCAAATTCTTCCAAAAGCACGAGGACACGAGGTTCTTTCAAATTCAACACTATAGGAGCCTCCAAGATTCTTACAAACGTTTCCAAAAACGCCGTATCAGGGACCCCTCCGATTTTTTCAAACGCAAAAATCCAGGGGTTTTTCAAAACCAAAACACCAGTGGCCCCGAATTTTTTTCAAATTCTTCTCAAGACTTATTGTTATAGTTTTTACTCTTAGACTCTAGCAGAAAAACCCCTTTTCCAATTCGAAATTCTACATCAAGTGTGTTATTCTCCGCTCGCTCATTCCCCTTGGAGACCTATTGATTTTCGCCAAACTTCAACTTTTTTCTCAGCGTCCCAATGTGAAGTTTTTTCTACATTTCGGAAATATTGTCTGTTTGCCCCAAAATGAAGTTGTTTTTATCCTTCATATGCATTTTAACGACTCTACTCGCAGTACCAGGTGAGTCCCCGCCACGCCTCCCCCAAAGTCAACTCTCTGCTTCAGACCTGGTTAGCGGCAACTGGCGGTACCGCCGACAAGACGAAGGCGAGCCCGCCGATGCCGCCGCCGCCGCCAAGAAAATGTGCGCCAAGTGCGTGTCCGCGGGCTGCAAAGGCGCCCGCAGCGACACGATGGACTGCAGCGCGGACAAGATGAGCGCACTAGGCCTGAAAGATGACGCCAAGATGGTGTGGGACAACGCGACCGCCGACGCCGCCGAGGACTTCGACAACCCGGAGAAGTACACCCACTGCCTGATGCTGCAGCTGAAGGACGGGGGTGAGTAGTCGCACGAGTGCGGTAAGCACTGACGGTTCCGGGTTTGCGCAGACACGAACAAGGCCGAGATCAGGGGCTGCGTGCCCGAGAAGGTCACCGTGGGGGAGGAGGAGAAGGAGGTGTGCGCGCTGATGACGGGGAAGGTCAAGAATTTGGTGTGCAAGGTGTGTCCGTCGGTGGAGGTTCCGTGCAACAACGAGACGAGCTTGTACGACGGGGAGGCGACGGGGGCGGCGCACAGGCTGTCGCTGGACTCGAGTATCTACTTTTGGATTTTGTCGGCGGTTTTAGTCAAAATACTATTGTAAAGGCTTGTCCGGGTTGTAGAGAAATTTTTTGTGTCTTTGAGGAATAAATTTTTGTTAATATATTGCAAAGCTGTGTTTGAATGAAGCTTATTAGTTATTCAAATTATGCAAGCTGGATTTATTTAAATAAATATGCACCTATGCAGATACAAATGTGATATAACGTTACAAACTTCAGATAATAATAGGGCAAGGATATATATATATATAATAAAGGCGCAACCGCTTATACCATACTAGTTGTCGCTACTCATCTATTTCTTTGTCGATGGTGTCCTGTCTAAACATTTCCACTTCGGCCTGGCTGTCAGCATGAATCATTTTTCCACGATTGTCGGGCTAAAAACACAAAAGTAGTAATTTCAAAAACAAACAAAAATTTTTCGAAAATATACTTTAGGATGCATCAGAATAAATGGCAATTCGGCAGACAGCTCTCCACCTAAGGCCCCCAGATACAGTTTCACCTTAACAGCGTAAGAAACGATTATCCCGAAAGCGTCGCGTTGATCGGGAGATGCCAACCTGGAAACAAAAATTTGAAAAAGTGCAAACAATTATAACGCAGTTTTTACAGTGTAGTTGATGCCAGGTTGGTTTCTTGGCGCTTTAGTTGTCCGTCTAAGGCAATTCCTCGTCTGTCTTTGTTGGAAGAGAGCAGTGGTACCAAGTAGACGATTTTTTGCAGTGTAGATCCAGGCTGGATGGGACATCCCTCCCTAGATTATAAAGTTAGTATTTTTAAAAAACAGTATGCACAATCTGACAATAATTAAACAACTATTATATCTTGGTTGTTTTTGAACTAAAGGGCTGTGCGAGAGACGACAGGTTACCACGTGTACCAACCTGAAAGATGCTACGGGTTTAATTTTTTTATGAGAAAAGTGAGAAAAAAATAAAGTAACCAAAAAGAAGTGAAAACAATGCAAAAGAGGAAAAAATATGCGAAAAAAAATAAAAACACGACAAAAATGGTTTATACTCCATTTTAGTTACAAATGAACAACAAAAAAAAAACAGAAACAATGGTGAAAAAGGTTATACAAATTAGCAGTAAAAAAACATACAAAAGATAGAACAAAAAAAAAGCGAAGAAAGAATGAAAAAAAAAACGCTGCAAAAAAAAAGGTGAAAAGGAGACGTTATACCGGGTGTCTGGAAAATGGCGAATTAACTCTTCGCTACGCTGGCGAGTCTGGGAAAAATAGTGAAAAAATTCCTTCCCACATTTTGGAAAAATTTAAAGGAGTCTGATGTTTTGTTGCTGGATGAACTTGAAAAAATCTTTTGAGCTTTTAGTATTTTATTTTTTATGAATTTGAAAAAGTCTTGAGTGCCGCAGTGTTTTTTTTTTTAATTCGAGAGATTCTTAGGTACCCATGGTGTATTATTTTGGGAGCTCATGGAGATTTTTTTTGTAAATTATTTAAAACAATTTTGGAGGACTTTGGTGTTCGGTTTCTGCAAAATTCTGAATTTACCTGTTTTTGAGTTAATTTTGGGACTTCGGTTTTTTTTAGAAAAATTTAAAACAATCTTGAGGTTCTAGGTATTCCTGTTTGGAAAGAATTTGAAACTGCTTTGGAGCCTCTGGTGTCTTTTCTTATAATTTAATTAAATTTCTTAAAGAATACTGGCGGGTACTATCCCCGCCCATCCACCCTCTCTTTTCTTAGAAGGTATGTCATTTGCCAAAATCAGTCTTATTATAGAAGGTACTAGCCCCACCCGCCCTCAGTTTTCTTAGAGGGTATCTCATTTGCCGAAATCGGTTTTATCTCAGCAGATCTAGCCCCGCCCACCCACCCTCTCTTTCTTATAGGGTATGTCATTTGCCAAAATCGATCTTATTTTAGCAGGTACTAACCCCGCCCATCCTCTATTTTCGTGGAGGAATCTCATTTGCCAAAATCAGTCTTATTTTAACACCTACCAGCCCCGCCCACCCACCCTCTCTTTTCTTAGAAGGTATGTCATTTGCCAAAATCAAGCGATAAAAATGGAGTACAAAAAATTTACAGAAACGCGGTGAAAGATAATAAAAGGGCAACAAAAAGACGATAAGAAAGGAGCAGAAAAGAGTAACAAAAGGGCTACAAAGAAGGTGACAAAAATCGAGATTAAAAAGGTCGAATAAGGTAAACAAAAAAGACAATGGAAAAAGGAGCAAAAAAGACCAAGAAAAGGTGGAAAAAAGTTGGCAATAACTCCGATAAGGCGATGAAAAAAAAGTGACAAAAAAGCGATAAAAAAATGGAATTAAAATGGGACCAAAAAAGGGCTATAAAAAAATGCGACTCAGAAAAGGAGTAAAAAATGTGACAAAGTAACGAAAAATTTGATAAATTAGCCAGAAAAAATGTGATTTGAAAAATGGGAATCAGAAAAATGTCAAAAAAGTAAAAAAAAAATGCTCCAAAACAAAAAGGAACAAAAAGAAAGCGACGAAAAAACCAAAAAAGCCCACAAATGCAACCGACTAAAAAAAAAGTAAAAAAAAAGAAACACAAAAAGAAGAAAGATAGAAACACAAAAAAAGAACACAAAAAATGCGACTAAAAAAATGGGAATTAGAAAAAGTCGCAGAGAAAACGGAAAAAGCAAGTGACGATCTACAAAAAACTGAAATTGATGAATTCTAAAAAAGGGCACAAAAAATGTGATAAAAAAAGCAAGGGAAAGAAGGCCATAAAAATGCGATAGAAAAAGCTGTAAAAAAGACAACAACAAAAGAGGATAAAACAGAAAAAAAGCGAGAAAAAGGGAAGTCACCAAAAAAAAGGCGATAAAAAAATGGAATTAAAATGGAATTAAAATGGGACCAAAAAGGGCTATAAAAAAATGCGACTCAGAAAAGGAGTAAAAAATGTGACAAAGTAACGAAAAATTTGATAAATTAGCGAGAAAAAATGTGATTTGAAAAATGGGAATCAGCAAAAATGTCAAAAAAGTAAAAAAAAAAATGCTCCAAACAAAAAGGAACAAAAAGAAAGCGACGAAAAAACCAAAAAAGGCCACAAATGCAACCGACTAAAAAAAAAGTAAAAAAAAAAGAAACACAAAAAGAAGAAAGATAGAAACACAAAAAAAGAACACAAAAAATGCGACTAAAAAAATGGGAATTAGAAAAAGTCGCAGAGAAAACGGAAAAGGCAAGTGACGATCTACAAAAAACTGAAATTGATGAATTCTAAAAAAGGGCACAAAAAATGTGATAAAAAAAGCAACGGAAAGAAGGCCATTAAAATGCGATAGAAAAAGTTGTAAAAAAGACAACAACAAAAGAGGATAAAACAGAGAAAAAAAGCGAGAAAAAAGGGAGTCACCAAAAAAAAGGCGATAAAAAAATTGAGAAAAAAAAAGAGCGGCAAAAAATTATAAAAAGAAGGGCGGCAAAGAAAAAGAGAAAATAGATCACAAAAAATTCCCCCTAAAAAAAAGGAGTAGAAAAGTGACACAAAAACATGAATAAAAAATTGCAAAAAATGGACACAAAAAAGTGATAAAAAAAAGCGACCAAAAAAAGGCGACAAAAATTGCAATAGAAAAAATGCGACTAAAAAGGAAGTAAATAGTGGTAAAAAAGACAAAAAAAAACAACAAAAAAGAGAATAAAGTAGCGAGAAAAAAAGCGAAAAAAATCCACAAAGAGAGAAATACGAATGAAAAAATATACAAAAAGCTACAAAAAAATCCGACTACAAAACGAGTAAAAATGGGACAAAAAAAAACAATGAAACAGATGATAAAATCGCGACAAAAAATGCGATTAAAAAAATGGGAATCAGAGAAAGTGCCAAAAAAATGGGATGAAAAAAACGAAAAAAGGCCACAAAAATGCCACTTCAAAAAAAAAGAAGTACAAAAAAAGCGACACAAAAAGAAGAATAAAGATACAAATACAAAAAAAACCCACAAAAAAAGCAACTAAAAAAGTGGGAGTTAGAAAAAGTGGCAGGAAAAACGGAAAAAGTAAGTGACGATCAAAATTCACAAAAAATACCATTTATAAAATGAGAGTCAAAAAAAGGGAGACAAAAAAATAGGCATAAAAAACACAAAAAAAGGTCACAAAAAAACGTGAAAGCAAAAGCGACAGAAAGAAGGCCATAAAAATGTGACAGAAAAAGGCGCAAAAAAGACAACAAAAGAGGATAAAACGGGGAGAAAAAAAGGGAAAAGTCCAGAAAAAAGGAGATACAAAAATGGACAAAAAATTTCGAAAAGAACGGTGACAAAGAAAAAGACACAAAATAGGTTACAAAAAATGTCAGATAAAAAATGACTTAAAAAAAGAGCCACACAAAAAGAAAAGGAATAAAAAAAATGCTAAAAAAGGCTACAAAAAAGAGAATAAAGTAGCGAGAAAAAAAACAAAAAGAGATACAAACTGGCCAAAAAATTTAAAAAAAGGGCGACAAAGATAGAGACAAAAAATAGGTCACAATAAGATCACAAAAAGGAGATAAAAAAATGCGTCTTAAAAGGCAAAAAAGTAACCAAAAACATTGATGACAAAAAAGGAGACAAAAATGTTACCAAAAAGTTATTAAAAAACGCTAAAAATGTAGAAAAAAAGGAAAACCACAAAAGTAGACAAAAATGGAAAAACAACGATAAAAACCTGATATAGAAAAATAAAAAAGCCACAAAAAAGTGATAAAAAAAGGATATGAAAAACAGTGACAAAAAAAAAGATAAATATCAGCACAAAAAATTGATACAAACGCGAAAAAAGTCTGCAATAGCGCAAGTAACAACGCCATAAAAAAGATCAAAAAAAGAGTTAAAAAAGGCAATGAAAAAAAACGACAAAAAAGTGGTACAAAGATCATAAAGAAAGGGGACAAAAAGTGAAAAAAGCGAAAAAACTTACCAAAAATAAGAATGACACAAAAGGATGACAATAAGCCGCGCCCACCCACCTTCTCGTTTCTTGTATGGTACGTCATTTGCCAAAATCAGTCTTATCATAGCAGGTACTAGCCACACCCACCCATCCTCTCTTTTATTAGAGGATATCTCATTTGCCAAAATCGGTCTTATTTTAGCAGCCCCACCCACCCACCCTCTATTTTCTTGTAGGATATGTCATCTGCCAAAATCAGTTTTATCTTAGCAGATACTAGCCCCGCTCACCCGCCCTCTCTTCTTGCAAGAGGTATTCAGGCATTAGGTGCGGACAGTGTTGCCAAATTTACTTTTATAAAATTACGTTTTTTTCCTAATGAAGAATTTTTTTATAATTTTTTTGCGACTCCCGAAATCCCCGTCCATAACGTACTCAAGAGTTAATCCGCCATTTTACAGACACCCAGTACAAGGTGTCAAAGAACAACAAAAAAGGGTACAAAAAAATTACAAAAAAAAATCAACAAAAAATGTAAAAAAGGTATCAAAATATGCAATGAAAAAGGGGAAACGCGATAAAAAGAATACAAAAAGACAAAGAAAAGTTGGCACAAAGACCACAAAAAGGGGACAAAAAAAATGCGACTTAAAAGGCAAAAAAAGGGACTACAAACATGGTACAAAAATGATACAAAAAAGTTATTAAAAGACGCTAAAAAAATTTAAAAAGAGGGAAAACTAAAAAAAGGATACAAAAAGCAGACAAAAAGCAATTAAAAAAATAATGAGAAAACAACGTAAAAAAAAAGATGACAAAAATGTGAAAACACGATAAAAATCTGGTATAAAAAACTGGTAAAAATAACGGTGTAAAAAAACTATAAAATATTTATTAAAAAAAGGGCACAAAAAAGGCGGTAAAAACGGGAAAAAGCGATAAAAGCAGCACAAAAAACTGACACAAAAGTGTTAAATAAAGGCTACAATAAAACAAAGTGACAAAAAAAGTAATAAAAAAAAGTTAAAAAAAGAAAAGGCAATTGAAAAAGGTGTAAAAAAAGACAGGGGACAAAAAATTGAAAAAAAGTGAAAATAATAACAAAAGTGACACAACAGGATGACAATAAAGCAGTAAAAGAGGCAAACACAAAAGAACACGATGAAAGCAACAAGAAAATGGAACAAAAAGAAGGCAACAAATAAGTGTAGAAAGTAGGTTATACAAAAAACGCAATAAAAAGGTAAAAAAAGAGAAACAAAAAAAAAGAAGATAAAAAGGAGACGAAATGGTTAAGTTTCGTAAGTAAAATTCAATATAAATTTTATTTAAAATAATGGCAAGAATATAGATGGTCCTTCGTAAGAAGTCTAAATTGGGTAACTCATTTTCATTCAAAAGAGTCAAATCAATACCAAAATCTACCAAATACAAATAATAATACACACTGGCCCAACAATGTGTCAATAAATAATGGAATGTCACAACAAAGCGGTATTATTGGTTGCCTATACAAACAATAAAAAATAAGAACAATAGCTTATTTAAAGTTAGAACAACCTATTTTATGTAAATTTTCATGCAAAAAACGAAACTTTTAATAATAAGCAACCCCGAAACGAGATATTTAACTTGATAAAAATGAAAGTTTTTACTTCCAGATATTTTTCATACTTTGAATCCAACAATTTACCCCCCAAACCCCTCTTACTGTGTCTCCACGCTCGCCACCGTCGACCTGTACTGCCCATTCTGGAACAGCACCACATCCACCCCCTGCTGCACCATCACCTTCATCTTCTTCACCACCTTATTGCTATTATTCCGAATACAAATATTCGCCGCTATCTTCTCCCCGTGATGATACAGCTGCTTATCCAGGGTCACCTCCAGCTCCAGCTCCCCGGGACTCAACATAAAGTCCTTCCGCACCACGGTACACGGCTGCTTGCCCTGCTTGGACGGCGCATACTGCACCTTCCTGATGGCCATAGAAACCGTGCTCCTCTTGTGGGACCTATCGGTCTCGCACTCCCCCACGAACAACTTCACGAAATAGTGCACCCCGCAAGGCTGCCCCTCGTCGTCGAGCCCCGGCTGCAGGGTGACGGACGCCGGGGCGTTGGCCGGCAGCGCGAAAGTGAAAGGGTGGCAGTTGGGACCGAGCTTCTTGCTGAGGCGGTCCTGCAATTTAGACAGATTTTGCTTATCAGGGGGCGGGTAGATCTGGTGGGTCGCTAGGTGCAAGTCCTTCTGGAAGTTGAGCCCCATGACCTCGTCTTCCTCGCGGCCGTAGCGGAAGCTACAAATGACTTGGCCGAAGATTTTGCGGTCGCGGTAGTCGGGGTCGATGCACACGACGCCGTCTGCGGATTTATTTAATCAAAAAACACGACGATAGCTAAAAATAGTTACCTATGGGTTCCACCCCCGAAATGTGATCTACGAAGTCGCGCTTTCCCAAGTATAAAGTGAGTTTGGCATTCGGGGACTGTTTTTTGAACACTCGGAAGTTGTACACCATTTTGTGGCACTAGCACTGGACTTTGCACAAAAATGAGGCAAATCTTGACGATTCCGCTTTTATTAGAAATATATTTAGGGCTTCTTAATGCAATTAGACAATTATACGCCCACGTACAATACGAAATACCACGCGCTAAATTTAATTAAACTATTAAAATTCCTCGACTTGGAATTACAATTATTGTGAAACACTGCGAATTTGTCTGTTTATTCTGATATGTGTAATGCTATACTCTCGTGTGGCCTTACATTAACGGCGCTAATTTAGTAGTAAACACGATAATTGTGTTAGTGATGCTGATAATTGTTTCCATGTTTGGATACGGAAAAAATAAAAACCATGGCTGCATTTTCTGACCTCTTTTCAGTCGGTCGTGTTCTAACAAATCAATCTTGTTGTTTGTTTTTTTAATTGTCGTGTTCGTTAAGAAAAGTCGACAAAAGAAGAATCGCTTTATTTTAAATTATATTTTACTTAAAACGATTAACTACCATAGTACAATGGTAAGCAAGAAACTATAATTTTTATTACATAATAGCTTATTAATATTAATTAAAGATGACCAGTCAATTAAAATTTCATTGTATCCTAAATGTATCCTCCTTTTCGATAAACATTATGTATATTGCTACCGGCAACAAAATGTAAAACTAAAAAAACCATGTAAATATTCATGATGTTTACCAAAAAACGTTAATATCATAAAATATACAAAAAATCTGTGCATGACGCCCCCGTTAAAATTTTGTTAAATCCATATTGTTTTGATTGCACGACCATGCTCAGATTTTCCTTATGTACGGTCATTTCGATCCCCGATATTTACCTAATTTAAATTTTACGCGTAAAAAAATAAAACCGTTCCACGACCTGACGTGCCGTCGGTCCTCTTTAAATTAAATAAATATCCTGCCGGAATCACGTGCAGTTATTTATAAAAAATTCTATATGTACACAAACAGTCAAAATGAGCGTACATAATCCGGGACAAAACAAGGGAAAGGAAGCAAACGCGCTAGATCAAAACTGTTACTCTGAGCAATAGAACCGATCAAAATTTGAACCCCTCGTTCGGTACGTTCGTGTTGGGATCGAAGTGGAAGCCGGTCTCACCGGCGGTGGGCGCCAGATTCGGATCGTCGTCAGCCTGAAACCCAAAACTCCGTCCAAACCCCTCTCCACCACAAACCTCAAAACTTACGTCTCCGCTGAAGTACTGCTCGATGATATCATACGCAATTTTGTAAATCTCGATATTGTCATGATTCTGCAGCAGCTCGATCTTGTCCAACCCATTGCACTCCTCGATCATCGTACACAATTGCTCCACTTCCGCCCCCGCCATCTTCAGCATGTTGTTGATCCCGTCGAGGACCACCTGGATGACCTGCGCGTCCTTGCAGTTCAGCAGGTCGCAGAACGGCGGAATCACGCCCTCCCGGATCAGGGTCGCCACCTGCTCCTTATTCCCGCCGATCGTCAGGTTGCTGATGGCCCAAGCCGCCTCTTTCTGCGTCTGGAAGTCGCCCTTGCTCAGATTGTTGATAATCTTGGGCAGCAAGCCGGCGTCGATCACCGCCTGCACCTGCATCTGGTTGCCGGCGGTGATGTTCGACAGGAACCAGACCGCCTCCTTGCAGATTTTCTCTTTGGGGTGGGAGAGCAGGGCGGGGAAGTGCGAGAGGGCGTCGCAGTTGAGCACGACCTGGGTCTGCTCGTCGGTGCCCGTGACGATGTTGCCCACGGCGCGCAGGGCGGCGGTCTGCACTTTCACCTCCTTGTGGCTGAGGAGCGGGATGAGCTTGGGCACGACGCCGCTGTCGATCACCATCTGGATTTGCTCGTTGCCGCCGTCGGTGAGGTAGCTTAATGCCCATACTGTGTCCACCAAGATCTGGGGCAGAAATGAGAAGCACATCAAGCTTTAGCAAACTTCACGAAAAAAAGTACTATATGTATACTTATCACAGTTTTGTGGAGGATAAGACCAGCATCTGCGCTAAACACTCTATTCCTATTTTTTTTACGAAAATGACAACCACATCCTTGGAAAATTTTCTATTTTTTTTATAAATCGAGTCAGATTTATTACAAATCACATTGAAAAAATTCGGCGGTTAATTGAACATATTCCTTGATGCTGCTTTTTCAAATTAATCAAGACGAATTAACATTTATGGAACTAGAACAATAGGAAATAAAACTTATCTATGTATTACTAAATTCTATTGAAACTTCGCAGTTGACGAGTTTTTATTCGACAAAACTACGTTCATACACTAGGCATTACTTTTAACGGTCTTTACTACCCTATTTTAATATAATATAATTATAAAAGTAAATGTAAAGAAGCATGCTACGCCTGTGTTTCAAATGAGTTTTTTCTTTATAAAATTTAAACAGCATTATGTTCTCAAAATTTCAAAAAATGGAGTGATTGATTTTGTTTTTTTTTTTTCAGTATTGTAATTATGCATATATAATGTGGTTTCGTATTCTGCCTACCCAATAAAACAATAGCACAATTTGCATACCAATTTTAACATTTTTCCTTCCAATTAGTGAAAATATCGTAGTGGGTGGTAGTGTATTGTTGGTTGCCTACCTTGTGTCGCATATTTGACCCTCGCGAACTTCCGCCTTGCCCTTGACACTATTTTTAAATTGCTAAATTGAGCTCGTCGAACTGTTCAGTGACGGCGCCACGTTTCGGCCTTTGCACTCTTATCTTCAACAATTTCAAAAATAACCCCTCTTCATACATGAATGGCAAATCACGTTTTCGTAAAAATACGCATTTGATAGAATTTTCGTAAATTGAAATAAAAAATGTGTAAATTTCGAAGGCCGTCTCCGTCCAGCCCCAAACTTAACTTAGCACACCCAACACAAAAAAAAATAAATAAAATGAGTCATCTTGAGGTACTCACATTGATATCTGTGTGATGAATAAGCGCGTTCAAAGCCGGTAACAACTCCCTAATAGTCTGTATAGGCGGCGGCGGATCCTTGTTCCTACACAAGTTAACAATAACCCATGTGACATTCCTCAAGAACGAGATGGGTACGTCAGGTTTAATAAACGAAAGCAGCGGATTAACAACACCTAGCTCAATAACGTAGTCCCTCAGCTGGGGCCCATCCCCGATGATGTTGCCCAGCGCCCACACCGCCTGTTCGCACACGTTCTGCTGCGGCGAGTGCAGCAGCTTGAGGAAGAGCGGCACCGCCCCCGCCTGGACCACCCGGTTGGTCTGCGCCGACGTCCCCGACGCGATGTTCGTCAGCGCCCATGCCGACTCGAACTGCAGCGAGGGCTCGTCGTACCGCTCCAGACACATGACGAGGATGGGCAGGATCCCGCTGACGATGAGCGCATCTATCGGGGGATTCCTGTCCGAGGAGAGCAGCTTCCGCGCGGTCTGGATGGCCATGAGCTGGAGCGCCGGGTTGTCCACCATGGACGCCTGCGCCACCAGCTCCTCGAGGTTGGTGCTCGAGAGGCTCTTCTCGATGTCGTCTTCGTCCGTGGAGTCCACGACGGGCACGTTGCGCCGCTTCTGGAGCGTCTCCTCTCTCTTGTTCTTGCGGAGCTCGACCGTGACCTCGTTGCGGCGCCGTCGCATCTCCTGGGGGCACACGCATTAGGGGGCTGTCGAGCGAGTCGGGGGACGCGCGGGCTGCGCGCGGGGGGAGGGAGGGGGCCGGTTCGCGGCCCGAGGGGGCGCCGGGTACTTACATCTTGGTCTTTGCCCTTATTTTTGAAGTTCTGGATGCGATTCTTGTAACCTGGGTCCGCCATTTTGATTGGTTTGACAAGAGGTGGTTGATGGGTGCACGAGGAAAAGCCGGGCGCCGTTTTTACGAGGATCGGAGCGATAGCGGTGTCTTCAACATGAAAAACGCAGATAAAAACGATTCGAGGGGGATTATCACAAAGTTTCCGAGTGGAACGACGTAATTTGGGTATTTTATCGCTTGAGAAGTTGGTTGCAAAGGTTGCAACGCACGGTTGCAAACTTGACGGAAATGACAGATAAGCGCCGAATTCGGATCGCAAAAACTAATTAATTCAGCAAAAATAGAAGATATCGCAAACAAAACTAGACAAAGTAAACGCAACAATTCGCAAGGAACGTCGGACGGCCCTGTACAGTCGATATAAATCAATCACATTTTTTGTTAGTTTTTAAAATTGCTGTTCCTCGGGGCATTTCACTTGCACGAAAATTTTGAACAATGCACTGGTGACATTTGATAATTTATACAAAAAGGCAAAAAAAGAAACTCCAATGAAGTTGGAGTATACTAAAAACCGCATCAAGTTGCTTAAATTCATCGTGGCTTAAGTTTCTACAACAATTTTATACCGTGTGATTTTTTTAAACCGCAACCAAAGTGTTATGAGGTTGTAAGGTTATGACCAACTAGAGTAGAAATTGAAAAAATCACCTGCTGCAAGATTTGACCTGTCAGAGTACTTTGATTACATTCTATATTTTTTTCGGAACACAATTATTTAACTTGAAGGACTAATGTATATTAATGATGAATAAACGGTTATTTATCTTACTATTTACAAGGAAGACACTACTTAACTCACCTTGTACATGTGGTTACCCAGAGCAGGAATTTTCGACTACTACTAACATAAGTATTTCCTAGAAGGGTTATTAGTAAGTGGCCAGCAATTATATTAGCAGATAGCCGAATAGCTAGAGTATCTGGTCGAATAATGTTTCTGATAGTTTCAATAAATGTAAATCTTGTTGAAATATTTGAATATATCTCTCAATTAAAGTCTTCTTGCAATCCTGGTCCAGACGGAGTGCCTAGTATTCTGATAAAAAACTGTGTTTTTTCAATCTCATTACCATTGTTTTTGTTATTTAAGACTTCTTTATCTTTAGGGAACTTTCCGACGATGTGAAAAAATAGCTTTGTAACTCCCATCTTCAAATCAGGCAATCGGAATAAAATTGATAATTATAGGGGGGTATGTAATCAGTCAGTAATACCAAAAATATTAGATTTTATTGTGGCCAAACAATTACAGTGGATTTCTTCGTCTCTTATTTCTGTTAAACAAAATGGGTTTTTATAAAAACAGATCAACATTAACTAATTTGATGGAATACTACTGCTATCTTAATGATGCTTTCTCTCGAAAACGACAAATAGATTCTTTATACGCAGATTTCTCAAAAGCGTTTGATAAAGTCAATCATAGGTTACTTATTTTTAAGATGACTAAATTAGGTTTCAGTGGGAAGACTATCAAGTGGCTAACATCGTTTTTATTTAATAGATCTCAGCAAGTTAAAATTGGTAATCATCTGTCTTCTCAATACTTTGCATTTTCTGGGGTACCACAAGGTTCACATTGTGGACCTATACTGTTTCAAATTTTCGTTAACGATTTGACAATTGGATTTCAGAACTCTAAATTTTTACTATATGCTGATGATCTGAAATTATTTAGAACTATTCAATCTGTTGATGATGCTTCAGATTTTCAACTAGACCTAAGTACTCTGCATAAATGGACAGTGAGCAATTTACTTCCGTTGAATTTGAAAAAATGCTGTATTATTTCTTTTTTTAATGTCAAATCAGTGTTGTATTTTGATTACCAATTAGGGAAATCTTCAGTAATTCGTGTAAATGAAGTCAAAGATTTAGGAATCATTTTTGACTCCAAACTTACGTTCAAGGAACATTTTCATTATATATTCCATAAATCAATAAGCATGCTGGGACTCATTTGGCGTCACTGTCGTGCATTATCTGTCTCTGCTCTTAAAACCTTGTATTTTTCTTTGGTGCAGTCAAATCTTCAATATTGCTCTCCTGTATGGTCACCATTTTATAGGAAAGATATCGACCTTTTAGAAAGAGTCCAGAAAAAATTTCTACGACTGTTGGAATTCAAACTTAATCGGGTCCATCAAAGAGGGGATTATTCGTGGATTATGTGTAATTTGAAAATATTGTCATTAGAGGATCAACGTAAAATGTACGATGTTTGTTTTCTTCATGGGCTAGTTAATGGTTACATAGACAATCCTAGCTTGTTGGGTCAACTAACATTTCTAATACCTCTTTCAAATAGTAAAAAAACTCGGAGCACAGTGATATTTACGGTACCTGTGTCCACGACTAACAAATCACAAAATCATCCGATCAAACGAATGATGGAAACGGCTAATAGGATGGCGGAAAGTTCAACATTTTTATTATTTGATTGTGGCAGATCAAAATTCAAATCTAAAATTAAGTGTATTTTAGGTCTGTAAATTAAAATGTATGATAGAATGTTAGTATTTTAGTTTAATTCATTTTCAATTCTTTAGGAAAATTATTAGTGAAGGGTTTATAAGTATATAGATTTTATTTACTTAATTAGTTTTTTGATTTTGTATTTTCTAAGATAATTTCAATTTGTATAGTTTATAGTATTGTAAATTGGGGTTTTCCCGTCAAATTAAATTAAATTAAAATTAAATTAAATTAAATTAAATTAACTAACTACTAGTTTATAACTACAACAAACCACCGATATAGTGGGTGGTTTGTGATGACTACTAATTACTGTACATGATTCATTTTTATTAGACATGACAAATTGGAAACAGAAAATGTTTGTTGTTTTTGCTGCAACATTTTTTACCTTTTTTGTCTCTTTTTATTTGTCGCTTTTTCCGCCTTTTTTGGATGTTTTTTTGTTTACTTACAGAAAAATAATATGGTGTTTTTATTATGCTATAAATGGTACCGTAAGAAGCAAAAGACAGGGTAGTTAGTCACTGAAAACCATTTCCACCCAGTTCTTAATTTGTAGGTGTATGCAACCAGCTGTACACACTGGCAAAAAGTGATGGCACTCTGTGAACCAATTGTTGGTACATTGTCAAATATATTTTGATCGATTTTTCAAATTTGATGTGTTTGTCAAACTTCGCAAACGGCTTTTTGTCGCTGAACGAATAATAAAAATCTTCCAAGTCAGCTCGAGGCCCCCCGATTCGAATTTGTTTTGCAAAATGCGCATTTTTCCTTCGAGATTCGAAATTCCCGCCCATGTGTCAGTCGGCAGCGCCCCCCTGCGGCGCCTCCAGTTATGAAATCTCCCCTGTGCGATTGTGATGTCTTCTGCAAACCCGGAGGGTGGGAGATATTTTCTATGTAATTACCTCGAAAAGCAAGTGGATGGTGCTTCATGCCGAAGACTGATGAGTAACACGGGAATATGTCCAGTTTGAAAATTGGTAAGCGCCATCTCGCCCCCGATCAATTCCACCTCTTTTTTTATTGTTTTGGTCCCACCCCCAAGCTTCCTCCCCGTAGAAGACGACTTCCTGGAGCCCGCCCCCGACCCGCCGCCGCCCCCAGCCCGCTTTCCCTTCCCACTTTCGGCAACGTTCATTGCATTTCAATTCTAGCATGATCTTGTTATCATCGCATTCACTGTTGTAGAGTAGAAGCATGAATGTCGGCTAGCACTAGATAGTTGTGCTTGTGGTCATGTTGGAGACCCGATCTGTTCGTGGAATGCCAGAGCCGTCTTGGCAAGCTAAGAGTAATTTCGCCGCTAAATCGACACCCCATTCGATGGCTGCACCAATTATCAGACATGGTTAGTGCTTGGGTTGTGAGTTCGCGGCGCGACTTTGACTCTTCTTGTGTTCCGCAGGCAAAACTGGTCAGGATGACATTTGCCATGTCGTGGCCAAGTACGACTACGCGGCGCAGGGGCCACAGGAACTCGACCTTAGGAAGAACGAGAGGTATTTGCTGCTCGATGACTCCAAGCACTGGTGGAAGGTGCAGAACTCGAGGAACCAGGCTGGGTACGTCCCGAGTAACTACGTCAAGAAGGAGAAGCCCTCGCTGTTCGACAGTATCAAGAAAAAGGTAACGGTATGTTGTGGGCCAGTTGTGGCTTGTTTGGGCAGGGTTTAAGATCGGTGATCCATACAGATAAAGAGATAGCAGACGCGAAATACTCCAAATGTTTTTTATGACTCATTTGATCCTTGCTTTAGTGATAATATTTCGGCAGTTAAAACGTCTATTTGGGTTGTTTATTGTTATTGAGAGGCCATTATTGGACGCTCTAGTCGCGTAAATTTTTCCCGATTTTTTTACGATGGCAAATGGTCGAGTTGTAAAATATTTAGGAACGATACCGGCGACTGAGTGCACTTCTCGACCCGACTACTTCCCCGACCATTTCTCAAGACGAAAGAACACTCGGAGTTTATGAAAACACAAATGGTTGAGTGCATTGTAAATAATAAAAGTCTCTGTGATTTCAAACGTTTACATATTTTATCTTTGTTTGGTCAGATTGCAGTATTTGCAATAATCAGTCAATACACCCAATGTTAATGTTGTGCGTCGTTCACTACGAAACATTAATTACATTAATTCTGTGACATATTGACTGTTAGATATTTGTGGAAATTAGTCGTGCTGTTAAAACGAAGATGCAGTTTATTGGTTACAAAAAAAACTCACAAAACTTCAGTTTATCCAAGGTAATTTTTTCTTGGTGTTGCTTTTTTTGTATTTTTCCAACTGTAATTACCGGAATAAATATTAACTCGGAATATTTTTCAGTAAAAACTTGTTTAATAATTATTTACGTTGACGTCATCGACTTTCTGAAAGGGATATAACACCAAGAAATCATACAATCGTAAAAATGAGCCGCCTTCTTAAAACTTTCTCCCCGATGATGTTCCGTTCTCGGTTCGCAGGTAAAAAAAGGCGGCGGCTCCAAGACCCTCCCCTCGAACAACTCCCCCTCGCGGACCGTCGAGTCCCCCAGCATGGCGCGGCGTGCCGCCGCCGACCCCTCCGAGGCCATCGGCACCGCCGTCGTCAAGTACAACTACCAAGCCCAGCAGCCCGATGAACTCTCGCTCGTCAAGGGCTCCCGCATCCTTATCCTCGAGAAGAGCAACGACGGCTGGTGGCGTGGCCAGAGCGGCAACGTCGCCGGCTGGTTTCCC